TAGTCGCAATCGTCAAACCACTGCTACCCAACCACAACAGTCATCTCGATCAGACTTCTATCATTGGGCCTCCATCATTATTGGACATCACTACCCAACCACCACCTTCATCACTATCAATCTGTTGTCATCATCGAGTCATCACCATTGCTTGACCATCGTTGCACGACCATCACCATTGTTTGACCATTGTTGTCGGTCATCATCATTGTTTGATCACCATTGCTCGGCCATCATCATCTTCGTTGTCAAACCACCATCATCGAGGCACCACCACCGTCAAACCACTGTTACCTGACCTCTACTATCGTTACCTTTAATTCGTCTGAATCGTCAAACCACCACTGCTCGACCACCACTATCGATGTTATCAGACCTCCACCATCGGGCCGCAGCCAATGTCAGACTATTGTTGTTATGTCACCACCGTCACAACAACTGGACCACCATCATCTAGCCTCCACTACCGCCAAACTACCACTTTTTAGCCTCCATCATTATTGTCATTGAACTGCCGCCGTCGAGTTACTGCCACCAGTGGACCACCATTGTCAGAGCATCATCATCTTCGTCATTGGACCACCATTGCCCGAGCATCATCATCTTCGTCATTGGACCACATCTACTTAGCCTCCATATTCGCTGCTAGCTAACCACTATCATCGGATCGTTTCCATTGTCTAACCACCAATATTTGTCCATCAGTGTCACTGTCACCAGACTACCATCGCACCTGTGACACTTACATTAAATTTTCTGGCACACAACCTCAACTGTCGATCCTCCTCCACAACAACAAGCTCACCACAACTTTTCTAACATATTCCACCACCCTTCCAACGGAAGTTACGTCGATAACTTTCATTTTTGTAATATTATTTCTGGTCATTCCATGGTTAATAAAATCTTGTAGCCTACATTGGCATGGTAAAATCGTTTCAACTAGGTTTTGCCCTGATTGTTTTTTTCCCTTTAGGATTTTCCACGCAAAAAAACCCCGATGTCGACTCTACTAACTCTAGTTTTATATGTGCTCTAGATTTTCATAAAATGCTAAGATATTAATATATCTTCATTGTCAATAATTCTCTAGTTTACAGCAACTTGGTGTCATATGTGGGAAATTATTCATACCCTTACTGAATTTGTGTCAATCACTAGAAGGCCAACAAATGTAATACTGGCAATAACGAAGCCTCCAACTCTAGTGCTCACCATTCAAAGGGACAACCTTAGAGATTGGGGCATCAAGCATATGTTTTTTCTTTCCCCAATAAATATTGTCCAGCTGGCGAAGACGCTTCAGGTCTGTCTTTTGAGGGCAGGTGCTTAGGATAGAGGAGTCCAATAATGAGATGCTTTAGCTCCTATGTAAGGTGTGACAATCAGTAATGAGGGGCATCAAGCTTAAGCTTTTTCTTTCCCCAACAAATATTGTCCAACTGAAGAAGATGTTTTGGGTCTGTCTTTAGAGGGCGGGTGCTTAGAATGGAGGAGTCCAAGAATGAGATGCTTTAGCTCCTATGTAAGGTTTCACAATCAAAAGCGACATAATTAAATGAGGTTTGCATGTTGTGAGATCAATCATCAATGGTGAATGAATCGCTTAAGAATTCCTGTATGAGGCCCCCTTCCCCTAATGACATAATTTCTTCTTGTCAGGCCAATATGCCGACCTCTTTTATATTGTTAGTTTTCGTCATTAATTGTACAAGCTTTCTTGCATGCAACCCTCTGATGCTCAAAAGAACTTGGCATAACACTTCCCTGCTAATTCTCCTCATAATATAACCCTGGGTGAGATTGTTTGCACACCTTTCTACTCTAATAAGAATAACCTTTTCAGTATATGTCCTCTTCAAAATCCTCGTTCTAGGCCAGCATCACTTGTAAACGCAAAGGAAGAAAAAGAAAGATCGAAAATGGAAAAAAAATTAAGTAGAAGTGAAAAATAGTATCTATGAAAATATTTATATAGAAAAATCTACCTAATATAAATTGGTGAAAAGCAGTTCAAAAAGAAATCAGATCATACTTGACCCAAGAAAATATACATGAAAGATTCTATAGAAAGACCTTCATAACTAAACCAGAATATAAAATAAAATTTGTTTTGTGTTAGGTTCAAAGAGACATTCCACAATGACGTATCCTCGTGATCAATTACAACCTGGAAAAATCACATGAAAACTCAAAATAAAATTTGTAGTATTTGCTTAGTAAGTCATGAAACATAGGTAGCTAATGTGATTTTTTACAGTCTCTATAGGGGAAACCTTACTTCTTAAGGGAGAAACCAGATCACTAAGCAGAGGATGAATCATCGTAACCTGATGACTAGTTGTAGCATGATAGAGAGTGTCTACAAAAAGAACCTAATAAGGCTCGATAAAAGAGATGAATGTTCCTAGAAGGGATAGATCAACAGTTAGGTCGAAGAAAAGCCTATATTGAGAGTGATAGTATAGTTGGGGCTCCATTGACACATTCTCCTAGATTATTGGAACCCTAGATCTACTAAGCCATAAAGGTATAACGAAGAAGAGATTTGATTACCAGCCGACCGACCGACGGACCGACCACCCTCCAGTGGACGACCGACCAAGCACAATCCTTTAGTATACTACTGTCTGACTGACCAACCACGACCATTCATGGGACGACCGAGCAACATAACGATTGAGCGCCCACCACCCGCTAAGGGATGACTGACTGACCAGTTGACCACCCATAGTCCGTTTACCACCTCGACTAGGCATCCAACTGACCTTCCCCACCCAGCCTATAAGCATACCAAAGGGCTATCAAATTCCCAAATGTCAAGCCGTCAAAGGATTGCCGACCGATAGACTCGGACATGCAAAAATATTAGAATGCTCTGCACAACCCCCTCTCAAGTAGGTTTAAGAATGCAATTTTTATGTACGGTTCTTCTATCTTCTACAAATTATAAGATATTTTTTATGTTTTAGGGTCAACTTTTGGATCCTTGTTTCTCTCGACCCCTCTCATGTAGGGAGAAATCTCTCTTTGTATCAATTAGCTCCTACATTCAAATATATAAAAGAGGTCAAAGAACACGGGAATATCCCATTTTAACCCTCAGGCTAAGTCCTCGTGCTATCTCTCTCTTCCTCCCCTCCTCTCTTTCCTTCTCTCAATGTTTCTCCATTTTAGTTACCAACGCTCTATCCTATTAGTGTGATTCACAAGACAAATTTAGATTTAACATCATGAAAGCTACAGTGAGCGTGGCCCATGTCACAATAAGAAGAAGAGTTCACCAAAGAGGTGAAGATCCTACACAGAGGCATTCCAAACATAAGACGCCAAAAAAAAATTTCTATTAATGCTTGAAGCATCTGAAAACCCATCTCTAAAATCGACATACAAAGAGCTTGGGAGATGGTTCCCTGCCAGTAGCAACAAACTCCGTGAATGGTATGATGCAAATCCCCCAGTAGCGAGTCTCGACGATTACCCCTCTGAAGGCAACGATGATATATGCTTATGACATGATGAAATGTGCGGCTCAACTGAGGTGACAATACGATCGAGCAAATGGGATGGACGAGGAGTAAAACTTAAGCCGGGGTGATATCATATCCAAAAACTGACCAATGGTCCTCCTAGTGACCAGGTTCTCAATGAATACAGTCGATCTAAAACTCTCAATAAAGAACATAGAAGCCATCCAAAATAGGATGCAACGAATTTCTGAATACCAAGAGAGTATAGCTGATGCATTATTGTGACCACATTTTTTATATTTACAGTCTCTTATTCTTATCACAGCTTCGCTTCCAAGAAGTAAGAGACTCAGGGGGTGTGTATAAAAATCAAATGTTCCGCTGAGCTTAAGGAGATTTGATGACCGACCGCCACACTCCAGTGAATGATTGATTGAGCATGACCCTCCAGTGAATGATGGATCGACCACCGCCATTCAGGGGACGACTGGCGATCGAGTTCCTACCACTCTCCAGAGGGATGCCCGATTAACCGACTGACTAGTCTACCACTAGGGCTATAAACGAGCCG